GAAAGGATTGTTAGTTGGATCTAGAAAGCTGTGAGGCTGTGGGAGGTCAGATTCTAAGGTAGGATTGGAATAAAGATTAGTAAATAGGAGTAGTGTGTAAAAGAATAGAGACAACCCCCACAATAGTATAGTTCAGGAAATTGCAAAGTGGGCTGAGATCAGGTAGGTATGTTGAGTAGTATTTACAATTGTATGAACTAGGTCTTATTTAAAGGAATATTAAAGCAACAGTCTTGTGGCAGAATCGATGAGATCTAGATAACAAGAATAAGGAGTATAGAACCTTGAAAGGTGTACTAATGGAACACAGATGAAGGATGGTAAATTATCAACACGCTGTGACTGAGATACCAGGGGGAACCTATCAAATGACAGTATAACCAGCCAAGCAAAGAAGATTATACAGAAAGAAAAAGAATACCAAAATACTGTTAAAATAAAAAATGTTGGAAAAGTGAGAAAAAGATAATACAAATTTGCAGTAACTTGCAAGATCAAAAAAAAGGGGGGGGCAGAAGATGGAGTGCAGGAGAGATAAATTTGGAGTGGAAGGAATAATACTAGGATGAATGGAAGAGAAACATAAGGGATTGAGAGATATAAAAATAAGAATTGAAAAATAAAAAGTCACTTAAAACACAAGATAAAATCAATCAACCAACAACAGCCAAAAAACCAAACCAAACCAAAACAAAAAAACCTCTTGTTGGTTTCTAACTGGCCAGACCAGTTTTTCTGGTCTTGCTGGCTTCAGCAGGCTGAGGGGCTGTTTGAAATGCTTATCACTCTCCCCAGTCAAATCTCAGTTAGTCTCTCAGGCACTATCCCCAGGGCCAGCAGGGTGCTCTCCGCAGGTCCAATCTGACTTTCCCCTACAGGATCCTGAGTGCTCCCAAGCATGCTTTCTGGAGCTCACTGCTGCAGTCTCCCAGGCTCCAGGGCCCTGCAGGGCTCCTGCGACTTTTTGGTTTCAGGATGCAAGCCCCCGAGATTGCAAGATGTGCCCTTCCCCAAATTCCACTGCGGCGAGCTCTATGATCTCAAGAAGCACCCAGGACTTTTTTGGATTCACTGTGCCATCTCCAGGGATTGTAAAAGGGCATGCCCATCCACCGAATTTTTGAGTTTCGGGCTCTAGGAACGCACTAAGCGCCTTGTCCCTTCCGGGTTCACAGTGCAAGAGTCAGGATTTCCGAGGGGGTGCGCGCTTCCACAGTTCAGCACCGCAGGCTCCAGAAACCTGAGAACACCCACACCCTTTCCTGGATCCGGGCTGCGAGGTCTGGGTTTTCCACTGATCCACACTCCCACTGGGCTGGGGGTGCAGGTGCACTTCCAGGCTGCCTCTGGTTATTCGGGCTGGAGGCACTCACTTCTCCCAGGGATTTGGGTGGGTGCTTACAGCCCCTAGGCCATTTTCTCCCATTCCAACTGCCCTTTCTGTGCCTTCAAGCCACAAGGTGTCCCCTGGTGTTTCTCAAGCTCCGTAGTCTGGGGAGGGAGCAGCGACTCTGTTCTCCTGGGTGCCCTGAGGCAGACCCAGGAGCACCGGGCCTGGGGACTGCAACCCCCCTGGTCCCCGTGCTGATCCCTGGGTCCCTTTTGTCCTGAAGCAGTCTCCTTACCGTCTGGTTTTTCAATGATCGCTATAATTTTTGATGTCCTGTTTTCAAAAATGTTTCGGTAACCTAGGCCACTTGCTCTGTTCCTCCACCAATCTGCGAGTTTCCCTCCTCTTCACAGAAGCCGAGAATCACGGTGCCTGGAGTAAAGCTGCCATCTTTGATCGATTTTGCTTCTTCTAAGCACTGTTATCTTCTAAAACGAGCTTAATGCACTCTTCACACACCACGGACAGACACCTTGGCATCCACCCCCATAAAAGATGTCTATCGTCTACCATGCTCTCTACTTCTGGGACCATCACCTCTACTTCCCTGTAGGGACCAGTTTCCCCAAACCTCATTTTCTGTCTTCCTAACACCCTAGCTCCAGGGGACAACTATATTCAGGCCTTGCCAGTGAAAATAGAGTATCACTTTGGCTATAGCGATTGGTTCAGAAATGGGCACACTACCTAGCCCAGGCTAAATCTCAGAGTTCTGTTAGAATTACTGTAAAAAGTCCATCTTACTCTGGAAGGCTTATTGAGCTGGTAGGATGTGAGGGTAGAACTGCTGGTGACCATCTTTGCTATTACCTGTGCCCGAGAGACTGCCTGAAAAGGAAACAACAAGTAAGAAAGCAAATGTGACAGAAGGAAAGAAACAGTCCCCAGTAATCATTTGCAGACCTGGATTTACCCCCAGACTTTTCAATTATGTTAGGCAATATTTTTCACTGTTGTTTAATCCCGTTTAAGTTGGGATTGTGCTATTTGAAAATAAGAGTCCTAACTAAAATATTCCCAATATTCATTCACTTACTCATTCAACATTGTAGTGTACCTACTATGTGCCAAATACTATGCTAGACACAAAAGCATCTTGATTGTGCCCAGAGACCAAGGGCAGGATTTATCCCATGGCTTAGGCATCAGGGATGGAAAAAGCATTTTTCAATGGCCATTAATGTTCATCATTCCAGAATAAGAGTAATATTTGCCTTCCTTGCCCTTAGCTCCAAGTCTACAATGGCAAATAATCTTTGGTGGCTGTCTTACATGACTCTTTAAGGCCAAATGATAGTCCACTGTATGCATGTACCACGTCCATCCATCAATAAATGGAAAAGTCTACAAGCAATTAGTACTCAAAGTCAATGATTCCTCACACCTTTACTGAGAATCACCTATATACAAGGCCTTGAGTTAAATCTATGAACCTGGAGAACAAGGTCTTCTGTAGGTACTTCTTCCAGAGAAAACTTACATGGCTCATTGTGAAGTATAACAAGCAGAAGTTAGAGTTAAGGAAGGTATTCCTAGAGGCAAGAGGTTACCTCTTGAGGGAATGACTAAGAAGAGGGAGGGTTGACTCCATGGATTCTAGACTCCATTCAAAGGGAAATCTTGGTGTGAAAGCCACTGCTAGACTGCTGCTGGGTGTGCTGGGTTGGGGATAGAAGAACTGAGCCTGATCTTAGCTCTGCCTATGGCCAGTAGTGTGACCTTGAGCAAGTCACTTTTGTTTCATATTTATAAAATAAGAATGCTGGATGTGCTGGTTCCATTGTTCTGATCCCTTCCAACATTTTGTGTCTTCATTAATTTATAGTCTTTAGATGGTACAAAATTCAGACAGGTCCACAATCCTTATTCTGCCATTTTTAATTCAATAGTTTATATAAACCAGAAGATTTTTAAAAAAACTATTTGGCAGCAAAACCTGGCCTGAACTAACATGATGCTATTTATAGTCTTTATTATCCCACTTAGTGTGAATATTTATACATTTGCCACAGGAATATTAATGGGTTTGTTTACAGGGTGCTGAGCCAGACTCCACTGGGAATGTTCTGTAACATATAGAACATCCTGCATATTACATATATTCTGTATGTATTCTGTAATATAATATGCCTTTCTAAAATTCAAAGGAAAAATTTAATTCCCCAAAACATCTGCCTCCAGTAATTTTGATTAAGGTTTTATAGACCTGTGCTTAGATCACTGTGCCTGTAGTCAAGACAACTGCAACAATCCCCCAAAGATGCCACTTGTCTCCCCAGCTTGTCTATACCCCACCTTTTTCATCCATGACTCTAAGTCTCCCAATCTTCTTCCCTTGCATGTAATTGTCCCCATTCTCTACAATCCTACCTATTCTTGGATATCCTTTGTCTAAATAGTGGTTCTGGCTAGAACTGTTCCTGGTTGCATCTTTCCTTCATGAAAATATTTCCTCTCTTTTGGAGCCCTATTCTCTGCAAAGAATCAGGGGCTGATTTTAAAAAAAAAGTCTCCAATCTAAGATATGGATGCGTGTATTAGTTTACCCTCCATGGGCAAGGCATTTACATTTGTAATATATATTTTCACTTTTTACTTTTCATTGTGGTAAAATAGTCATAACATAAAATTTGCCATCTTAGCCAGTTTTTAAAAAATTTATTTATCTTTAGACAGAGGGGAAGGGAGGGAGAAAGAGAGGGAGAGAAACATCAATATTTGGTTGCTTATTGTGTACCCCAGGCACGTGCCCTGACTGGGGACCTGGCCCACAACCCAGGCATGCGCCCTGACTGGGAATCGAACCAGTGACCCTTTGGTTCCCAGCTGGTGCTCAATCCACTGAGCCACACCAGTCAGGGCTTAACCAGTTTTAAGTGTGCAGTACAGTAGTGTTAAAGATATTCACATTGTTATACAACCAATCTCCAGAACTTTTTCATATCCATTGAACAATCCCCAGCCCCTGACAACCACCATTCTACTTTCTGTCTCTATGAATTTGACTACTTTAGATACTTCATATAAGTGGAATCATACAGTATTTGTTGTGTTATGAATGATTTATTTCACTCAGCATAATGTCCTCAAGTTTCACCCATGTTATATCCTGTGTCAGAATTTTCTTTTTAAGGCTGAATAATATTCCATTGTATGTATATACCACATTTTATCATCATTCATTCATTGATGGATATTTGAGTTGCTTCCACCTTTCTGCTGTGAACTTGAGTGTACTATAACATATATTTTTAAACCTCTTGATTTACACCTCCTTATCAGTAGAGCTTTTCAATTCCTCCTCTTTCTTCCATCATAGCTCCAGAGAGGAGGTAAAAGCAACATCATCTTGGGAAGCAGAAGGAGTTACCCCAAAAGGAAAAAAGAGGAAGGGAGTATCTGCTTCTTCTGCACACAGATTCTAGAAAGGAAAAATCTTGCCCCATTATCCACAAGGGAGAAGATGATGTTTGGGAAATAGATAACAGGGGCAAGGGGCTTGACTTTCCCTCTCTGAGACAAAATATCTCAAAGTGGGCATACACACTAGATACCAGAAGGCAAGGTCTGGAACATTGGCTGTGCCATGGAAATGCTTCCCTGCACTTACCAAATGACACGAACAGACCACTTTTGTTGTACAATGGCTGGATAGATGAACATGTGCACTGGGCAGAAGATGCTTTGAGGACTGGGTAGAAGCCTGGAGTCAGAATAAAGAAGTTCCATGAATGAGGGACCAAGCCATAGACTCTAGCAGTAGGTGCCAAAATATCCTTACAAGACCAGAAGACCTGGATATCCCTGCAGACCAGAGCAGCCACACTGCCATAAGGATCAGGCCATCATCCTGTAGACACCACAAGTTTTCAAAGCCCCATCCCCCCACTGCCATAAAGATGCATAGGCACTGCTCCCTACACATACAGCCACATAATACCTTAGGTAGGGGGGAGGGACAGAGTGGACACTGAAGAGACATAGCTCCCAACAGAGACTCTTTAAAGTGGCCTGGATAGCTGACTACTCACACTGAAGGGACGTGTGTGAAACTGAATAAAGAGCATAGTAGGTGTTATTGGTGCCATGGCCAGATTCCCTGGACTAGCTGGTGCACCCACTTTAGCTGCTAAAAGTGTTCACCTGGATGGCTCCCTGGACTAGTCGGTGCACACACTTTAGCTGCTAAAAGTGCTCAACTGGATGGCTCTCCTGGGAGTACTGGATTCCACTGGCAATGGAAGCAGCCACACCTGGGTACACCTGGGAGTTAGAAGGCCCAGGCCCTGCCTGAAGACAGCTGGTGACCTCTGACACTGAAGTACAAAAACCTGATCCCCTGTCTTTAGGTAGGACCACCTCTCTGGCACTATCCTACTTCAGAGCTCCTTAGGGTCAGGCAGAAGCTGGTTTCAGTGGGCGCTGGCCTTGCTCAGCTTCTTTCCCTGTCCTCCTCCTGCTCTCCTCCCTCTCTCCCTTACTGGGCCACATGCACCTGAATCCTGGTCTCAGGGGAACCAACTGGAGACAATACCACTTTGCTGACTTATCGGTGTTTCCCTGTACCCCATGGATGGTGATGTGTAAGAATAAACAAGTGCATTTTCTTTGCACATCTAAGTGTAATGCAAGTGAATTTGTGACTGTCTCCATTGTATAGTTAGCAATGTCTTAAGGAAAAAAAATGACCCTAATGAGGGAGTAAGGCCCCCAGGAATGCAATCTAGGAGCAGGTAGCCCTTCACTGCACCTCTTTGCCTGCAGGGCTGAGTGAGTATTTGTTGGATTGGTCTCTAGCTCAAACTTCCCACAAGGGTTTGTTCACCCAGACTAGCATGGGCAGATTTAGGAAATAAAAGTGCAAGATGCCTAGTTAAATTTGAACTTCAGATAAACTTCTTAGTATCCAAGCATTTCACATGATATTCTTACATTAAAAAAGTTTTGCATTTATCTGAAATTCAGCATAACTGGGCATCTTGCATTTTTTTCTGGCAGGCCTCTTCTACACCATCTGACTCGGCAGAAACCCTGATCTTCCCACACTCCCAACCCTTGGCTACTGGGTTGGGATTTTGCTCCTGGCTTGGCAAGCTACTTAGGTCTCCCTACTCTGATTCTGATGAAAGCCACAGTCTCATGAAGTTCAAAGCTAAAGAGGAAACAACATTATAATACACAGCTGAGGAAATCATTGTGGTAGGACAACATGTCACTCAGAAGTCACCTTGGGGACAAACACTAGTTTGGATGTCAGCATGTCCCTGCTCACCTGGAAAGAATGTCTAGTGCCAGCTGAGGCTCACCCTGAGACTAGGAAGAGAATAAGGATTGCAGGTCAGTGGGAGAAATGGAACCAAAGGAGGTTCACATTTGTTGAGCACCTACTCTGTGCCTTCCTCTTTATGGTCATTATCACACTTAATGCTCAAAATTAACTTGACAGCACCAGCAAATTGTTCCTATTTTGAGAGATGGGAAAACTGAAGCCAAGAGGGGCAAATGAAGTTGCATATCTAGTAAAAGACAGTATTGTGATGTAAGATGAAGTCTGGGAGGCTCCAAAGCCCATGTTCTTTGCTCTGCAGGATGACAATCAGAAGAAAAACAACAGCAGTTTTAGCAAAGTCCATCCCTTCCTGCCCACATCCTCTCAGGGCTCACAGTCTCCACTGCAAGCACCTGTGGAGAAAGTACCAGTAGGTGAATAAATACAAAGTCCCCGTATCCCTTAAGTGAAACAACTCTGAGGCTTGTTTCATGTCACCTCCCAAACATCCTGAGAGATCCAGCCTTGATTGCCAATTCCAGGTAGGATGGTGGTAACCTGATAGTGATCACAGTTATTGGTAGCCCTCCCTTCCCTGTCTTGCTTCCTTACTTCCTTACTCATGTGACCTGAATTCCCTCCCAAATTAACTACAAATGACCCAACTTACAATGGTTCAACTTATGATTTTTTACTTTAAGATGGTGCATAGGCGATATACATTCAGTAGAAACCATACTCGAATCTTGAATTTTGATCTTTTCCCAGCCTAGCAATATGTGACAAGATACTCTGGTGATGCTGGGCAGCAGCAGTGAGATGCAGCCAAGTGACCATGAAGGTAAACAACCAATGCTCTATAGTGTATTCATTGTGTTTGATGACTTTGCCCAACTGTGGGCTAATGTAAGTGTTCTGAGCACATTTAAAGTAGGCTAGGCTAAGCTATGATGTTTAGTAGGTTAGGTCTACTAAATGCATTTTTGACTTATGATATTTTCAACTTACTGTGTGTTACTATGTGACATAACCCCATCAAGGGTTTAGGAGAATCTGTACTTGTACTTAAATTAGATTCTCAAAGTTGGTAACTGGGAAATCCAGCCTAGGAGAGCAGTTAGTGCTTCTCCAGGCTTCCTAAGGTGCTGGGCAAAGCACTTTTCATGTGTTGTCTCATTTAATCTGTCCATTGCATGAGGAGGTAAGGTTCTATGATTATCCCCATTTTACAGATAAGATACATTAACTGACTCAGGGCACTGCTGTATCTCAAACACCACAGTGTACCTCAGACTACATCTGTGTTCTCAAGCACTGTGTCATCAAGAAAGGCTTCCTCTGGATTTCTGGGCTCTGAGCAATCATTTTCTCTCCTTCCAGCTCTGGACTGAATTTCTCTACTTAGGTGCAAATACAAACTGGGGCCGCAGCATTGGCTGTCAGCTAGCAAGGGTACATCTTAAAATGTACCCTTAATAGGATGGAAATGTGTAACTGGGTGGCATTTTAAGCATTACATCGATTCCATTCTAAGATATGTAAGGCCCACATTCTATGTGTTGTCTGCTTGTTCTTTGGCAGACAGAGCACCTGCTTCAATGTTCAACTTTTCTTTATCCCTTAGGGTCTCACATTTTGTGCATTGCCTTTCTCTGCTGGTTCTCAGCACAGCAGTTCCAGTACCTTCTAAGGACTCCTCCAGTTCATGTCTCTGGGTATGAAACTATGAATTCCATACATATGTAAGTCTTTATTCAGAAATGGGCCCCAGATGACTTGTCCAATCTTTCCAAATGCAAAGATCTACTTAAGTCTCAAAAAAAGAAATCATAGTCTTGTTGGCTCTGGCTTCAGACAGGTGTTATTTCTGACTTGTCTCCACTTAAAAGCCAGGTTCTCAAGGCCACAAATAAATGATTTCCCAAAGACTGTCATTGATTTCATTGATGGCATTTTCTTCTGAGCAGATAATGACATATTTATATCATAAACAGGATACTTGCAAAGACTGTATGAAGGAGTTTCAGTGATTTCTGCAGAATTTTGGAGTTTTGCAGCCATCAAATGATAAGCCTGCTTATTGGTAAGCACCCTCATGGACACAGAGCATAACCACATTCCTTAGGGGGAAGACAGTCTGGGCTCCTTGGTTCCGTTCCTGCTAAAGGTCTGTCTCAATGCTAGATTGTTAAGGAAGAGTTTAAGCTGGAACAGACCTTAGTCTCAGTCACCTTTTTGAAATCAGACACCTTTTTGAGTGTCTATTAAAAGTTTAGATTAGGAGTTACAAACATAAAAATCAGAGAGAGCAGGCAAGTAAAAAAAATAAATCAGTGAGGAAAGGCCATGCAAGGGCAATGATAAACAAGAACTTACATTTGGCATTCATCAGAGAGGTCACAAAATGGTGTGGACAGTGGCTGCCTGGGATCTCACTCCCACCTAAAACAGGTAGCACCCTCTTAGAAATGTGGGTCCCAGGTGACCAGATCTTGTGGGTCATTTTAAGAGAATCCCCAAATTTTGATCTTATGTGCAAGTTCCCAATTTTAAAATATTGAGCAATGATTCAAATATCTGTTACACAACCTAGACCCAACAGAAAAAAGTCACACTACCAGTTAGCCTCTCTTGCTGTAGACTTTCCTTCCAGAAAAATGCCAAATTTGCACATATAAAGTTTGACTTCAAGTTTCAGGGGGCTGTGGGCCAAGGTCCCAGGTTAGGAATCTCATTGTCAAGTTTCAACTCTTATAAAACTCTTGTCCTCATCTTTAACCTTGGACATGGTTTCCTGGGGACATGTTCTGATCTTCTTAAGGATATCTTCAAGTAGGTAGCCACAATTCTTGCCTCCACTTCCATCTTCCACTCGGTGGCAGACACTACTCCTAGCGCCTTCCCATAAATCCCCACTGGGATTTTCACCTCAAAAGTGTCCTCTGATGATCAACATCACTAATCATCAGGAAATGCAAATCAAAACTATAATGAGATATCAACTCACACCTGTTAGAATGGCTATTATAAAAAAGACAAGATATAACAAGTTTTGGCAAGGATGTGAAGAAAAGGGAACCCTTGTACACTGTTGGTGGGGATGTAGATTGGTGCAGTCATTATGGAAAATAGTATGGAGGTTACTCACAAATTGAAAATAGATCTACCATATGATCCAGCAATTCCACTTCTAGATATTTACCCAAAGGAAATGGAAACACTAGCATGAAAAGATATATCCACGCCCATGTTCACTGCAGCATTATTCACAATTGCTAAGACATAAATGAATGGGTAAAGAAAATGTGGTATATACATACAAAGAAATATCAAATCATAAAAAGAAGGAAACCTTGCCATTTGTGACAACATGGATGGAACTTGAAGACATTATGCTAAGTGAAATGTCAGGCAGGAAAACAAATAACATATAA